TTAATAGAAGTGGGAACAGGAGATTTTAAAGGAACTAGACACCAGAAGGTGTATATTGGGCTGCCATAAAACCTAGACCAGGTAGAAATTATGTATTTTATGAAAACGAGAAGTTTACAACAACAGACAGCTGACAGCGTATGAAAAGAAGAAGTAACCCTGCTAAACCGGCATTCCAATGCCATGCCGGACACCACCCCAACCCAGACTGACCCAGACTGAGCCCACGGGTCTCATTAAACTGTTTGAACTGAAACTATAAATAAATGATTATGTGGCACGAAATTTTTGCGGATTGGGCATTTTTTTCTGTTTCGCGGAAACTAATTTTTGCGACTATGTTTTATGAAGCAAGAGTGTAGCGTGATTGTGAGATGGCGTGATTTTATTTCTTTTAAACTTTGTTACCTTTTTAAAATGTTTTCACTCGTCTGTCAGATTTTACTGATTGCGGGGTTAAACATCCGAAGTATTCAATTAAATTAACAACATAAAGAGCGACAGAGAACTTGCTGACAGATCGGATTAAAAACTAAAGCTTATAGATTCAAGAAAGTCACGATTTCGTGTAGTGTGTGAGCGAGACATTGTACTTTGAGGATTGAACCTGTGAAATAAACCCTGTTTTTGCTAAAAACTGTGATATCGTGAAGAACGGCTGCACTAGGACACATTTGTTTTTCCTGCTGAGAATTAATTTTCAAAAAGTACCCAGTACCCAGCATTGATAATATTTTCGTTCTTGTAAAGTACGTGAGCAATAAGGGTGTAATAGAAATACAGATTTTCAAACAGTACTACGGTATGCGTACACTATGTAAAACCAATTCATTGTGTACCGTTTTCTTGCTGAATTGAAGAGGCGAGTTGTAATTAATTGAACAGACGCGATTTCTTAATACTGTATTTTTGTGTAGTAAATTTTAGGCAGAGTATATTTAGGGACCGGTCATTATTTAGCGGGGGGGGAGGGCTACTATGTTTGGGGGAAGGGCCACAATTTTTTTAGCCTCACTTTGGGGAGGGCCATTTTTTTAAAAATGCCTTTGAGGGGAGGGCTACCATTTTTTTAGCTCAAGTATTTACCTCAAGTCTTCAAACTCAGAATTCTCTTTATTTGAGCCAACTGTATCTGTTTTAATATGTAATTACACATGTAAACATGGAGCACTGTTTTACAAAAAGTCTCTATAAAGCATATCTGTTTCCTAAAACACATAACAACTGAATTTGTTTCCTTGTGCAAAGTTGTTACAATTTTAAAACAGAACATGAGAGAAAGTCATCAGTAAACAGCACTGATAGAAACATTTGAACATGTACACTGTCACCAAAAGATAACGACGTTGTTTTTAATTTTTTTTCGGAGCATTTCCTTGCCTATTACCTGTAAGTAATAGGCAAAATATTTTGATATCAAAGGCGGTTTAAAAACAATGGATACAGTCAGGCTAAAGCCTGAAGAAAAGAAAAGAAAACCAAGCAAAAGGAACCAGGAAAAACGCAAATATTCGAGATTTAGTCTGAAAGATGATCGAGGCATGGCATGGACTCTGAGGAATTATTCCAATATGGACCATAATCTTCAATATCTGATGAAGATGCCTCTCCTGGTTTGGGCAGTACAGAAACGCTGCAGACATCATCATCACTTTCGTCTTGTTCCTCACTCCAGGCAACACCATCATCATCTTCATCATCCTCGTTCTTATCGTCGACGTGTAAGGAATTAGTTGCTTCGCCTCTTTCCTTGCCTAGTAAGCCTGCGAGGTAGTCCTTCGCGTCACTGCTTAGCTGAGATGTGTCATTTTGGGATACCAATAATTCGGCCCATTTCTTTTCTCTTTGTTTTAAATTCAAGACGATCTCTTTTTGTATGTCACCCTTTTCGCAAAGAGAATCCTTATCTAAGCCAGGGGCGATCTTTTGCAAAACCGTTGACGTCCTCTGAGAGGTACGAACAGCCTTACGTTTTGCAGCGCGGTGCTTATTCTGTTTTTTCGAACGAGATTTCCTCTTTAAGGGTGCATAATCAACCTGAAAGATATTTGAGGCCTTTGCCCCGAGCTCAGTGAGCTTAGATTTAGTCGTAGCTAGCTTGGTTTTGAGCTCGATCAGCACAGAAATAACATCCTCGTTGAACCTGTGGGACGTTCTTCGGCCAGCTTTTATTTTTTCATTGGAGAGAACTGCTGATTCTAGATCTATCTTAACTTTTTCCTCAATTTGTTGCAAAGATTTTTCCGCCTCTTCGATTCGATTTAAGTTCATTTTTATAACGATGTTATCGTGAGGTTTTAATGTGTGGTTCTCCCTCAGTAAGTAACCTGCAGTGGATGGGTTCTTTGCATTATCCAGTTGTTGGATTTTGGCCTTCAGCCTCTCAGCTGGTGGACCGTGTACTGGCGCCTTGCTTCCTTGTGGAATTCTTCAGAAAACTTTTTTTTTTGACATAGCTAAACGACGAGGAAGACGATGTCGAGGATGAAGAATCAGATGACGAATATGAAAATGATGTTGTACTGGAGGAAATTGGCGAAGAAAGTGATCAGGAAGAAGCGACAGATACGGGCGAGAAAAGTGATACAGATCAAGATTACGACAAGAGTGACAACGAAAGCGACGTTGGCAATGATTATGAGGACGATGAAGACAGTGATAAGGACGATTATGACGACAATGATGTCGGCGACAATGACGGTCTACAAATCAGTGACATCTTGTGTACTACCAAATCTGGTAGAACGTGCAGGACATGGAAAGCAAGATATCTCTTATTGATTAAAGTTTGACTTGCAAAAAGAAACATAGAATGTTATTTGTTAACAACCGTTCGACTATTTTGTCCTGGGGGAGGGTCACAATTTTATTAATGGAGTAAGGGGAGGGTCGAAGGTTTTGAAACTCTCAGAAGGGAGGGCCACAACTTCTTGGCCGACTCTTTTCCTCATTCTAGTAGCCCTCCCCCCCGCTAAATAATGACCGGTCCCTTAATCTGGAGAAAATTTTTGCGGGAAAAATGTTTTCAGTTCGTTATTTTTTTCGCGGGAACTTATTTTGTGGATCGCTGGAAAAATCGCAAAAACTAGAAACGCAAAAATTTTGTGCCACACGGTATCTCTAGTTTACCTGAACTTTTTTTGTTTTGTTGGCAGTTTGTCTCTGTATCTGACGAAAACAATAAAAAAGAATCGTCCCGTTCAAAGGAGAAAAGCTTCAGCGCGTCTGAAATTATCTTCAATCGCGTGCAATACCATTGAGCTGTAGTTGGAGCGGCCGCACAGAGTTGAATTGTCTAAACTAAACCAAATTAGTTCGACATGGACAGAGTTTTTAAGCCAAGAAAACGATGTTTTTAGTTTGTTATCAGTACTGATTTTTATAAGGTTTGATTTTATAGTACACTGCGAACAGACCGCATGAAAATGAACTCATTCAATTTTTTGGACTATCATGGAAGGGACGTCTGTTCACAGGCTAGCATGTGCATAAGATAAGAGTGTTCATTCCAGAGGTCATATATGGCGCTAGGAATGGGCTCCTGATGACGCTTTTTATCCCGGGGGGTACTCAACATAATGACCTATATCAGGAGCCGGCTCTATACTTTGCATAGTAAGATCTTTTATCTTCTTTCACCTTTATTGTTGCCTCGGAATCGTTGTTAACATTTCCGGTCAAATGATAATTTGTTTTATACATGTTGAAATAACAACAGCCTCTGTATAAACATCTACATCCGGTATTAGAAGATTGATCACTAAATACGCGATTACAATAATTGCATAAATGATGATAAAAACAAAGAAAGATAAAATCAATGAAATAGATACAAAAATTAAATGTAAAAGCAAGGATATTGTTACCTAAAAGCTGGCCATTGAAGTACTGAATTCTTCCATAAGGCTGTTGTGTTGATCAAAAACACTGTTGAATTTCACAGATTCAGTTACTCCTAATGTTTACCTGCCGAACAGTTTGAGTTGAACAGTTAATTCGGGTGATTCTTTTAGCGCTTCTAACTCAGTACGTAGCTCACTTACTGCACAAGGTTTCCTGATAAAAGATTTACTCGGAAGAGTTCGCTTGTAAATGGATCTCTCGCATAGTATAGTTTATGAACTATACCACTTCCAAAATGTACTCTTGCCATCTTTTCCTGTGCCTTACCATGAACGGTGTTTACATTCGTATGTTTGCATTCGTATCAGTCCACCGAAGATAGATTGCTAATAGCTTCGAGTCGCTCCTTAGAATGTACTCTGCTGAAGTCCGCTGACCTATTCTACGCATACTCTTATATCTTGCGCACGCGCTGAACACGCCAGAGTGCGATTTGTGCCAGGAAAAACCGAGCCCAATTTATAACTGGGCTGTACCACAGGCAGCCCAGTAAAAATATGGTTCGCCTTTATATCGAATATCAGAACACGCCGAGGGCAGCGGAAGCACCGTCACACTATGGAATAATTTAATGAGAAACTTGCTGTTTTGCTTTTCCGCCACTATTACCCCCATCTAATACATGTACAGTCGTTGAAACTAAAGTTATCTTCCAGATCGTTATTGTAACAATTACAACTACTAATTTAAAAACGATCGACATTAGGGGACGACCATTTAACTCTTGAGGGGGGAGGAGGGTGGGTGATTTCTGGTCATCAAGAATTTTTTTTCTAGCAATCTGGTGGGCAGGATATTTTTTCCCCTTTTTTTCCCATAAGCTTTCTATTACATTTGTGCTGCATGCAAGTTTTTTCTTCCGACAAGCGCTTACGGAAATTTTTTTTCAAAATTACCCATCAGCCCCCCCCCCCCCCCCCCCATTTAAAAGTGTCCCCCCCAAGGCCCTTTCCTTCAAAAAAAAAAAGACTCCGCCTTCATACTTTATGATCCGGGAGGGAAACCCATGGAACCCCACACAAACACCCCAACCCTATCCCCCCCTCGCTTTAACAAAAAAACACAAAACAATAAAAACAAAACCAAACGACGACCAT